ATATGCATACTTTTGAGGCTTACGGGCGTTAATCCTTGATGACCCCTATTAATGTACTGAAAATCAAGGATGGGAAAATAATTCAGATAAAGAAGTCATATTTATGGGGGACACCCGTCACAAGGAAGGCCGGGTCTCGCCAACGCGACCAGCAATAAAGGTGACTGAGGCAAGCTTGAGTGAAGCCAAGAACATGACGATGATGTACACAAATGTACTGAGTCTACTCAACCAGTTGGGTGAACTCAAACTGACCGTGGACCATCTGCAAATTCACCTGATAGCTCTAACTGAAACATAGTTAAATGATCAGATAGCAGATGAAGAATTCAGATTGGAAGGATTTAAACTTTTCTATATGGACAGAAACGGATGTAGGGGTGGGGGAATCGTAATGTTTATACGAGATGGGATCGACTATGTCCCAGATAGTCGTCATCACGCAGGAACAATTACTGTGAAATAATAAGTTGTAAACTGTCGAAGTTGTAGAAACCTCAGAGGAAAAGGATAAGGTTGACCATCTCTCCCAGTTTTTCTGGTCCGTCGTGGCGACTGAACCTAGTTTTTTTTATCCCCAACGTATGAAGACATTTAAGTTCCTTCTGTCAATATAGTCCTCTTCACTAAAGATATAATTCGGACAAAGCTTATAACTTTGAAAGAAACGACCTTCCGAGCCCGACCAAGCTGTTGAAGGAGCTGGCTTCTGAAATGGCCAAGCCGCTAGCCTTAATATTCCAGGCTTATTTTTTTACTGCGTGCCTACCCTCTGATTGGAAGACAGCAACGATCACTCCGCTTTTCGGGATTGGAAGTCAAGCGTCCGCAAATAATTACAGGCCGGTGAGTCTTACCTCCATTTACCGCAAAACCATGAAAAAAATCGTCAAGAAGGCGTTGATGCAGTTCCTCGAGCATAATCACCTTCATTCCGATGCCCAACTTAGCTTTCGCAGTGGTAGGTTTTGTATTACGGACCTGCTCTTCTCACTTGTTCGCTGGACCAAAGCACGTGACGAAGGCAAAATGGTGCATGAAATCTACAGTGACTTCAAAATGGTTTTCGACAGCGTCTCTCACCAACGCCTCCTGCATAAATTGCGCAGCGCAGGCTTTCGCGCGAACCTTTTCCTATGAATCCAAAACTTTTTGACAGGACGGTCCCTAAGAGTACACGTCGAGCGCCAGCAGTCCTCGGGACACCTGTGGGGAGTGGCGTCCACAGGACTCAGTGCTAGGTCCTAAAATGTTCCTTGTATACATCAATGACTATGTTAGGGACCTAGACTATGATGTCACCTTATTCACTGACGACATAAAATAATGGAAATTTGTCCAAAATACGGAAGTTGGAAGCCATCTGCGAGCTAACTTGAACGGATTGGCGAACCGGTCAAAACATTGGCTTATGCCCTTTAATGTTAGGAAATGTAACTTTCTTCAAATAGACCGTTGTAGAGCATCTAGCCTGAAAGTTTATTCCTTAAACGGTACACCGCTGCAACAAGTTGAGAGCCAGAAATACTCAGGTGTGTGAATTACTTCTTTACTCAAATCAACGCTGAACTGCACGAAGGCGGCGAAGTCGGCCAGGTCTATATCAACGCTGATTAGAGGAGCCTTTGTTGGGTTTGAAAAAGACAGCTTTTCCAAAATATTTGGAAGTTTCTTTCGGCCGCGTCTTTAATTCGCTACATGGATACATAGGACTGTCACATACTGTAACTTCTTAGAGAAGGTCGAGAGGGGAGCGATAAAAATTGCCGAAAGGTATGGGAACACTGCCCTATGAAAGCACACTGTCAACCCTCAAACTATTTCCTTTTTCCTGCTGGCAACTATTGAACATCCATATTTGATTGTTGGTTCGTCCCTCAGTCAGTCAGTCAGTATATTTCTGCCGTTGGACTATCCACAATCTACGGCGGTAGAGGAGAGCTGCTGGCTTCGAGTTGTTCTAAAGAATAACTACTCCTTACTCGTTGGCTACGTTTATCGCCCACCTAATGCCAATGCGGACTACGATATTTGTCTCTCGCAGGCATTTTATGCCGCAGCTGACTTGAATCTTAAGTATTG